TCTCTCTCTCCTTCCCTCTTTCCCTCCTCTCCTGTTCTCTCTTCTCCTGTCCTCTCCTCTACCTGGTAATATTCTCCTTTAGTCATGGAGATCAGGAACATGAAATTGAGGCGTTAGAATATATTTCCTTTCAAGACTTTAGTAGAAGAAAATTATATCTTGCTGCCTCCAACTTTTGGTGGCTGCAGGTACTCCATGATCTGTGACTGCGTAATTCCTATATGCTTCATTTCTTAGTTTATACAGATATTTATCTTAATTATATACACAGAGATTTCTCATAGGTTCCAGGGGCTGGGGAACGGACCTGTCTTTTGAGGGATTTATTGAACCCATCCCACCTACAGCAAGCAGGTCTGAGGGTTGCTCCAGTGAGAAGCTAATGAGCCCTTGGTTACCTGTGCTTTCTGAAATTAAATTTCTCTTTTCTCTTTTGGCCATCTGGGTCCATACTTATGGTTACTGCCATTGTCAAAAGTGATAGCTGTACCTTCATTGGCCTTCAAGCCTGGGAAGACAGTCGTCAGTGGCAGCGAGAGACACTGCAGGCAAATTACAGAGTTCATTTGAACGAGAAATGATTCACAGATGAGGTAACACTCAGAACCAGTAAAGAATTAGAGAGCATCACTCAGCAGTGCCAGCGGCAAGTCAAGAGGGCTGGAGAGATGGTCCAGTGGTTAAGGGAGCTTGCTGCTCTCCCAAGGGACCCAGGTTTGCCTTCCAGGGCCCATATGGCAGCTTGCAATCTTCTATAACTCAGTTCTAGTTTCAGGGGATCTAGTGTCCTTTTTTGGCCTCGGTAAGCACTTCACACATGTGGTGTATGAATACAGTCAGGAAAAAAATGGTCACACACACACATAAGTAAATCAAATATTTTAAAAATTAGAATAGAAAATGTCTAGAGAAATCTGACTGTTTTTTAATGAAGCCTCTACTTCATTGATGCCTGGTCTGATTGGGTGGTGTGCTGGTGGGTTTGTCCCCTTGGGACAAACCCAGATGTGTTTAGGAAGAGAAAATGCCAATTAAGGAATTGTCTCCATCAGATTGGCCTGTGGACATTTTCTGTATTAATGACTGGTGTGTGAGGACCTACCTTGTTGTGGGCCATCCCTGGACCCGTGGTCCTGGGTTTTATAAGAGACCAGACTGACCAAAGAGGGATGCCTGGATTTTCCTGGGAAGGGAAACAGAAGAGATCTCCTGAGTGAACTGGGACCTGGAGAGGAGGGGATGGAGGGATGGGAGCTTGAGGTTGGGCAGGCTGGATGTGGGAGATGGGTTGGGGGCGGGATGGAGGGGGAGAATAACAAAAGAGACATCTTGGTGGGGGGAATTTTGGGGTTAGGGGGAAACCTGGCACCAGGGAAACCCCCAGGAATCCACAAGGATAAGCCCAGCTAAGACTCCTACCAATAGTGGAGAGGGTGTCTGCACTGGCCGCCTCCTGTACGCAGATTGGTGACTACTCTAATTGCCATTACAGATACTCTTTCCAGTAACTGATGAAAGCAGAGACAGAGATCCAGACAAGCACTAGGCTGAGCTCTGGGAGTCTTGCTGAAGAAAGGGAGGAGGGATTGTATGAACTAGGGGGATCACGAGGGAGATCCCACAGAGACAGCTGACCTGAGCTTGTGGGAGGTCATGGTCTCTGGACAAACAATTAGGGAGCCTCCGGGAACTTGTTCCCCATGCTGGATTACCTGGCCTAGCCTTGATGCAAGCTGGTCCTATCTCAGCTTGATGCGCCATGCTTCATCTAAGCCCATGGGAGACCTGCACCTTTCTGAATGGAGACTGAGGAGGAGTAGAAGAGAGGAGCTTAGGGGGGAAGGGGGTGCACCAGGAGGAGAGGAGGGAGGGGAAACTGCACTCAGCATGTAAAATAAATGAAAAAAATTAATCAAAATAAATAATGAAAAAAGAAAACAGGCTGAATAAGTCCTTGAGAGCAAGCCAACAGTGTTCCTCAGCCATTGTCTTGGCGTCAGTTCCTGCCTGGAGGTTCCTGTCTTGAGTTCCGGCCCTGACTCCATGATAAGCTGTAGATGGTAAGGTGAAACTTTTCCTTCCCAAGTAGTCTTTGGTCAGTGTTTTATCCCAGCAACAGAAGGCAAACCAGCACAGACAATAACCGTGAATAACTGGTGAAGAGTGGGGCTGTTTGTCCTTGGCTGAATTCACCTTCTGGAACAAAACATATACTCCCAGTAGACAGGGTGGCTTCTGTATGAAATCCCAGCACTCGAGAGGCAGATGCAGAAGGACCAGGAGTTCAAGGCCAGGCTGGGTCACAAAATCAGCTAACAAATTAACACTTGTAAGTTAGATTTCAGTTTATTGACGTTTAAATGGTGGTTTGTAACAGGAGCTCAAAGTTCACAGGGAGGATAATGGCTTCCTGGTTTCTTAATCTAACCTTGCCAGGTTACATTTGTGGTGTGTGTGGGGTGGGGGTGGGGGGTTCTGGTATGTGTGTTGGGGTGAGGAGTGAATGCCGACTCGCCTGAAACTACCTTGCCTCACCTGCAGGTGCCGCTTCCTGTAGTAGAGTGCGGAAGTAAGGCACTATGCACAGAGCGTTTGTCGTCTCCAGACCTGCCTGCCGTCTAGTTCGACTCATTTATTATTCATTCCTCTTCACAGAGAACCTTTCTGCCTGTTTTCGGTATCATTCGTGAAATAGACGCCGGGAGCAGAAACACAGTAGCTATAACTGCCTGCCATTTGTTGGCGAGCAAGGTTATCCTAGACACCTTGGTCCATCTGTTGTCTGGAGCCTATAGAATGGATCTAAGACCCGGCCCTCAGGCAGCAGCAGCCGGGCTGCCTCCATGAGAAACTGGCGCACAGGGCAGCCTCATGCTCCTTCCTCAGCTGACTTCTGCTTCCTTTGTGAAGACGGCTAGGAACATTTCATTGAAGTCCTTGCCACGTCCTAAACTTGAGGTTTGTTCGGGCCTGCCACAAAGCAGTGCCCATAACTCTCACCCTTGTCACCGGCTTCCTGCGATGGAGCTAGGGACCCCTCTGACCACTGGGAAGAGAGGAGGACACACATCAAAACCCGGCGTCTATATGCCAAGGCTCCTGTTTTTGTTTTCTTAGAGAAACCTATGTTGGCTGAGGACCACTAGGGGGCGCCAGCGGGCTACGTTGGTGCTGGAGAGGCGCAGCACTCCTGCATCCACTCCTACCCCAAATCCTTCCCACACACGGGGCGGGCGGAGTGGGGGAGCAAAAACAACCCGGGGGGCGCTGACGTCAGCCAGCCGGAGGCGCCTGCCGCTGTACCCGTAGGTATAGTTAATCCCCGAGGAGTGGGGCCTGTGCTTTCCCTGGCAGCCCAATTTTCAGCTTAAATCATTGCCCTAAAGTTGCTTTAATGTGCGTTGGGGCCCTGGTGGCTAGAGTGGGTGGCAGGGGAGCAGCGTTTAATTTCCTTTGGAGTTTGGAGTGTGCCCGACACTTCTCAAGCACTTGGGTGGGAGAGAAAGACTCTGTAATCTTGCAACTGCAATCAACCCCAGTAGCCTTTTCCTTATTTGGCAAACAATGGCAACGTTAATTTGGGGGCGGGGATGGCGTGGGGCTGGGGTAGAAGAGAAGGAAATCAACACGTATAAAACAGCTAATATGTGCCGCGCGTTTTGTTATATCATTTGATTTTCAACAGTAATTGTATGAAGTTGTCCGAAATGCTCGGTTTGGCAGGAGAGATGGAGCAGCTGGCCTTCAGTCGCAGGGCTGGCAAATGGTCTGTGGAGCCCTCCACTGGCCAATCCCAGCGCCACAAATCTGGGATCAGCTAGCTGTGGTATCTACCTCACTTTTCAGTTTTACTTCGAGAACTCTCACCTAGTGGGTCTATTTATTGTTTTACACGAGACGTGGCCAGAATGGAATAAATCCCACAACTCTAAAGGTGAGCTAGCCCTTCGCAGGACAGCAGAACAAAACCTAAATTTAACCACACAGATGCTTATCAATCTCCTTTTGTCCGCCATGTATCCTGCCTAACTTGGATTGCACTGAGAGCCCTATGTGCTTACCACAGCATAACAGAAAAGTCCTAGTTAGAGAAGGTATTGTTTGACTGGTGTGACATCCATGGGCTGTATTTACATCAAGTAAATAAAGAGAAAAGAGCAGTTTATCTGATGACGTGGCTCATCATCACATCCCTGAAAAGGGGTAGACTGACCCAGGACATGGGTGTGTGGGAGGGTGTGTGTGACGTGTGTGCGTGTGCGTGCATCGACAGCACGCCAGTGCCCAGGGCAGAGCAAGCTGTCCATAAATGGTGGGTCCGAATAAAATGATGCTTTCAGGCCCACATCCTGGTCCCAGACTTTTTCAGCCGAAGCCCACATCCCGATTGAGTGAATGAAGTCTGTTTTCCAAATTTTAGTGTGAAACAGAAAACCAGACTGTAGGCACCTCAGAGACCAAAGTGCTTTGCAAAGGTGGAATGACTCCAAGGCCGGTCAGAGGCATCTGTGTCCAATGGGGAACCAACAGGATGTTTTCGCAGGCTTTATTTCACTGTTCTGAAAAGGGCTATTTCACCTTTAGAGATGTGGATTTTGTTCCATTCTTGAAAAGCTTCATGCGAAACTATAAACAGGCCACTTGGTGAGAGTCCTCAAGTGGAAGTGGGAAGCGAGGCCCATGGACCAGCTGGCAGAGCCCCGTGGGAACTGAAGTAGAATGGGAAGGACAAGTGACCAAAACATTTACTCTGTAGTTTTCAGTCACTTGCCTATGAGTGAAATCTTAACTGTGGTGACTGTTCATCTTCATCGTCAACTTGACTGGCTTTAGCGTCGCCATGGAAACACACCTCTGGGTACCTCTGGGATGGTGTTTTCAGACAGGGTTAATTGTTGAGGAAAGATCTACCCTGGGGGTGGGTCTAACGCTCTCCTAGGCTGGGATCTGAGGGAGTAAAAAGGAGAAAGCTGGGGCTGGAGAGTTGGCTCAGCAGGAAAGAGCACTTCCCGTTCTTGCAAAGGACCAGAGTTTGCTTCCCAGCACCCACCTGGCAGCTCATAATCGCCTCCTGTTTCAGGTCATTAGTGTCTTCTGCCTTCCTAAGGCACCGGGCAAGTGAGTGGTGTACATATATACATACACTCAGGCGAAACACTCATACACGTAAAATATCGACAAATAAAACATTAAAAACGGGAGAAAGCTAACTGAGAGGATCTCCGGTCTCTCTCAGCTTCCTTCACACAGACACAGCATGAGCTGCCACCTCACACCCTCCTGGACATGACACTTGCCTGCCGTGATGGACTGTCCTTCAAACTGTGAGCCGAAACAAGCCCTTTCCCTCCAGAAGTTGCTTTCATCTCAACAGGAAGAAAAAAGTCAGGACCACAGTGGCCATCATAGGAAGAAATGATGGGGATGCAACAGGCGTCCCTATGTAGCCTCCTGACTTAAAGTAAGCGATAAAGCAATGAGCTCTCCGCAGGACCCTCTGAGACAGGCAAGGCAGCTGTAGAAACAGCAGTGTCGCTTTGGCGGGGGGTAAACAAATCGCAAGGAGGGAAATGAGGGTCTGAAAAGGAAAATTTAAAGGCCAGGCTTTCACTTCTGTGCTCTGGGCTGACAGGAGTGACTGTGTTCAGCGGCCAGATGTTTGCAAATCCAGAATCTTGACGAGAACAGTGCCACCCGACTGTCATTTCACATTCGTGCAGGAGAAATGCCAGTGACAGCATCTGAAATGTGTTGGGTGGGCGCCTATTATTTGCTTTACACACCTAATCTAATCCCTAATTCCTATTGATGCTGACCAGTTTGATGTTCTTAGCCTCGTGTGTCTGAGGAACACACTTAGGGATGCTGATGCCTTTGCCTCCGGAGCTGTAACTGGTGGGCTGTTGGGAAGGTGTGCAAACAGTGGTGTCACATTGTGCTTTCCCTTTGGGGTATGTGGCCTTGTGTCATACAGTGGTGACATTGTCTCAGTTTCGGTGTTGACAAAAGCAGTAATGTGAGCCAGCTTCTTTAGGTGCCTCCCCCCTCTGACTATTCACACTGGCACTCAACTGCTCTGGCTTTTACGCTCAGCTCCCTGATAGGGTCTGGCTGTGTACATTAGGCTTGCCTTGAACTCGCACCTCTGCCCCCAACCTCCTGAGTGCCACGACTACAGCACGGTCCCGCCATGCTTACCTGTCCCATCACTAAATTCCCATCAGGAGTTCTGCAAGAAAGGTCTCATTTTCTCCTCCCCACAGAGAGGGAAGCGCTCATAATCTTGCCAGGAAATGACGCAGCCAAGTGTCAGAGCCTGGTTTTGTCTCTACCCCAAGGCCGTACCTTCTTTTATCTTCTAGGTCAGGTCCTGGGGGAGCATCTCACAGAGGTGGGTGTGTTTGTACAAGACTGACCATGCTTCCTGGGCGTGGGACTTGCCATCAGTACCTTTGCATGAGTCGTTCTGTCTGGGTTTGAAGAGCCCGCCAGTTCTTGCTTCATACTTTCTCTGGCTTCTTCCATTCCTGTGCCAGAGACCCTAAATATGCATCTTCTGTTTATGACTCACCCTGTTTGCCTGTTTTGCTCATTATTTTTTTTTAAAAAAAATAGCTAACAAAACAAACAGAAAGACAACCCACAAAATATGAATGAGCGGCACATACCCACAGCGTCTCCTGGTTTGTTTTCTTTCCCATTTTAGATGCATTGGATGGTTAGTAAAATCTAGCAGAACACATCTTGGTTTTAGACTGTGGGAGAGAACTGTCACGTTGTCCTGGATCTTGAACTGTTGCCTAGTCCATGCCCCTGTTTGAGGTGTCCCCGGAATGAGGTGAGCTTGGGCTAAGGGAAAAACTGTGTAACAAGGCCATGGGGAGGAGCTTATTATAGGATGTCCTGTTGGAGAAGCTCTTCTTAGTCCAGGATGAGCCATAGTACCAAGGCTGTCTTGTTAGGTCTGGACCCTCCGGTCTGCCCTTCTCACTGCCTTAGCGTTATTCCTCCCCGCACTCCCACTGTTCTGAGTTTCTTTGCGATTTTCTCTCTTATTATGTTTTACCTTTTCTGCTGCTGGCTTTTGTAGCTGTTTCTAGTTCTTGTCGCACTTGATTTTCAACCCAAGATTGTGCAAAATATTATGACAAATAATCTTTGTTTGTAGGGTGCAGGAAAAGCCATTAGGAGGAGGAAGAGGATGAATTAGAAGGCAGTACAATGACCCAACACGTATGAAACACCACAGTGATACCTGTAACTTTTATGCTAACAGAAAATTCTTTAAAAATGGAAATAATGCTGGATTGTTATTAATTCAATCCTTGGTAAGGAATTTGGATTTTATCTTATAGTCTTGTTTCTCCTATCCCAACTCACAGTGGGCCAGGAATATTATTAGCAGGAATTAGCCTGATCCTGAGTGTGTGTGTGTGTGTGTGTTTGTGTTGGAAGTGGGTAGGAGGTCAGGCATGAGCCAGTTATGTGGTTAGAATCTCCAACAAGAGGTGCCTAATTTTTCAAGAAGTCCTTTGGTGGCTTGTGAAACTCACAGGGATATGGGAGATATTGAAGAGTCATGGTCCTTGAGTGGGAACACAGAGAAAGAAAGAATGCTTTTGGAATGGCTGTGTTCAGGAGTAAGGAGACATGAAAGGATTCTTGTCACCTAAGGTCACCGTGGCTGTCAAGGCTGTGTGGTGAACACACACAGAGCATCCGCTATTCCTTGCGCCTCCAGTCTTTCCTTGTCATCCTGCTGACCCAAGTTGGATCATAAGCCAGGAGAGAGGGTAGGATCACCCATTGGAGCAGAGGGAGAATAAATACCCGCACTGCTGCCGCAAAGAGATTATGCATCCCGTTCTTTTTGAGACAGGATATCAGGAGCCCAAGCTGACCTGGAATTTGCTTTATAACCCTTGTACACCTGAGCCTCTTGCCTTCACCTCGCGAGTGCTGGGATCACAGGTGTGTGCCTCCATCCATGTTTTGTGCTGCTGGGAATTGAACCTTGGGCCTTCCACTTTACTAGGTAAGTACTCTACCAACATATTGACATGTTCAGCTCAAGCTCCGTTTTGCACACATGATCCCATCTTTGCATCCAGTCCACCAGAGTCTGTGACATCAACAGAGACTATAGTGACTCTCTAAGTGATGGAGGAAATCCACTCTTTCTGAGGTGAGTATCTATTAAAGGATTGGCTGTCTGCAAGACCTTGCTTTTTCATGCAGAGGTGATCTCAAGCCTAGTCTGGAATGCTGAATGAATGTTGGTACAGAAACCAATGGGATATTCTTAATTCGAATTTGATTAAGTCTGCAAAGTGGTCTGAGGACAAACAGTAATAAAAACAACAAACAAAACATCATCATCATCATCATAATAATAATAATAATAACAATCCCTAAAACTACATGAATATAATAGTTTTCCATGGAAAATCTGTCAGTTTTACTCTTTACTTTGAAATATTTCTTCTAATTTTAACCTAAGAACTGGTTATGTCATTGTATGTCAAAACTTACTGAAGATGAGGTGAATCCCTTCACTCAAGGCTCTTTGTGAGCTGACAACTTTCTTTGGGAACAAAAGAATCTGACAGGCATCTTAACGACTTCTCACAGATGCCTTAGTCACCCGCATGTGCACATGCCCAGGGCTGCACAGCATTGCAGGTAAAGGCCAGCTTGTGAGCAGTTCCTTCGGGGTTCAGTACAGTGCCCCCATTGCAAAGAAGACCACAAAATCAGTGCCGTCTGTCTGTCTGTCTGTCTGTCTATCATATATCTATCTTCGCATCTAAATCTATCTATCAATTTATCTCTATATCTAGGCATCTCTGTATCTATGTATGTATCTATCATATATCTATCTTCCCATCTAAATCTATCTTCTTTCTATCTAGAACTATCAATTATCTCTATATCTAGGTATCTCTATCTAGATCTACCTATTACCTATCTATTTGTTGTTTATTTATATACCATTTATCTCTCTATCTATAGGTAATAATCCATTTTATTAATAGCATGAGGCTCTAGAATTGACAGTGAGACACATCTACTACAGGCAGCACAAGCTACTTCAAGAGAAAGATGAGCATCGAAGAGGCTCCTTATGGAGTTTGTTAGATGAACTGGACATGCAGGTACCACAGAGAAATGACTGCTGAACTTGCCTAAAGGTGAGATGATCCTTCGTGGTTCCTGCTTCATGAAAGAGTCTGCCAGACATTCTGCAGGATACAGAAGAAAGTGACTGAACTGTCTTTGAAATTTCCTGCTTCATGGAAAAGTCTGCTGGATACTATGGGCCTGAAGGCTGAAGATGGATGCCCCAGTGGTACGGAAGAACTTTGGGTGACTGTTTAGGTAGCAAGATGTCTCTGTCAATTCTAGAGATTTAGAAGTTGCTTACAATGTATTTCCTGTTTACTTAGGTAATATTATATTTTTCTGAAGTCTTTGATGGAATTGAAGAATAGATAGATAGTTATAGTTACAGTTTTCCTTAGTTATGACAAAAGATAAAGTAAATAGAAGTAGTAATAGAAATATTGTAACTGTAATTCTTGTTACATGTAATTTTACGATGTTAAAGTTAAAACCTTCCTTTTTATTTAAACAGAAAAGGGGAGGTAATGTGGGAGTCCCCTCTTTGTGCTCTGATTACCATTAATGAATAAAGAAACTGCCTTGGCCTATGGATAGGGCAGAACATAGGTAGGTGGGGAGGACTGGACTGAATGCTGGAAGAAAGAAGGGTGGAGTTAAGAGATGCCATGGAGCTGCTGGAGATAGACGTGCTGAAACTTTGCTGGTAGGCCTCTACCTCGTGCTAATACACAGATTAATGGAGATGGGTTAAATTAATATGTAAGAGTTAGCCAATAAGAAGTCGGAGCTAATGGGTCAAGCAGTGATTTAATGAATACAGTTTCTGTGTTGTTATTTCGAGTCTAAGATAGCCGGGGCAAACAAGTGGGCCTTCTCCAACGCCAGGCTGACCTCAAACTTGTTCTGTAGCTGAGGCTGACCTTGAGCTCCTGATCCTCCTGCCTTTTCCTGTCAAGTGCTGAGATTATCAGCATGTGCCACCATGCTTGACCAATGGTGCCTTTTACTTCACCTGGCGTGTTTAAGATGGGAACTGAGACATCACTTGGACTGTGGAGGTAGAGTCCGGTGGTGAACACGTGGAATACTGGTTAGATCTGTGCCTCTTGGGAACAGCTTCACTGGAAAGAAAGACTCCACAGTCTACATGCTGCTTTGGGGTTGTTATGACTCTGGTTGCTGCCACGGGCAGAGCAGAAGACAAAAATACTCACCCTGTCCTGCTGCCCAGGATGTACAGCTGCTCATACAGCATGGAACCTATGGGGGAGGAAAATATCCACTCCACACACTTACCCCAGGCTTGTGTCTTTATCTTCTCTCTGAGTAGCTCACATCCACTGGTGGGGAATCAGCTTCTGTATAAACATGAAAAAAGCACTTGGTTATTAGTAAAGCTTTCGTGAATAACCTCATACACGAGTCTGACAGAACTGGGGAGAAAGCAACTCAGAAATCTTGGCTTTGAAAATTGAGAGTCTACCCAGGTTGTGGTGGTGCATGCCTTTAATCCCAGCACCTGGGAGACAAAAGCAGGCAGATCTCTGAGTTTGAGGCCAGCCTGGTCCACAAAGCCAGTTCTAGGACAGCCAGAGCTGTTGCACAGAGAAATCCTGTCTCAAAACAACAATATCAACAACAACAAAACAAACAAACAAGAACGCTCAAGAGTCAGTCCTAGCTATAATAGAATATCATGGACACTCTATCTTTTCCATTTCTTTTTTTGTGTGAGTATGTGTGTTTGCATTCATCTGTATATACGCCTGGAGGCCAGAGGGTTACAGGAATGTTACTTCCTCCATTGCTCCCCCCCTTATATACAGAGCAAAGACCTCTTGTTGGATCTGAAACTCACCAGTTCAGTCAACAATTACCCTGCTTGTTCCAGATATGCGGTCTCCACCTCCTATGTGCTGAGATTGTAGGAGGGCCAATACTTGCCTAGTTTTTATGTGGGTTTTGATGATCTCACACTCTGCATTTCCTGTCTCAATCTCCCGAGTACTGACATTATATGGATGAGCTGCCATGACCAGCATTTCTTGCCTAGCTCTTCATGATAGGATGAAAGTCATGTCAAGACATAAAGAATAAAGGAACTTTCCAAGCATTATATGTACACCTCAAATTAACAAGGTAGCCAAGAATGGCAACACTCGCTTGTAATCCCAGGACTTGGGAAGTGGAAACAAGAAAGTCAAGAGTTCAAGTCTAGCCTCAACCATATAGTAAGTTCAAAGCTTGTTTGGGCTACATGAGACCCTGTCTCCAAAACATTAATAATGTATGAAACAATAGGAGGAAATGTTAAGTTCAATAAAAAGAGGATTGATGGTTTTCAAGTCTTCTAGCCTTCCTACATCCCAAAGGTAAATTACAGGCTGAGCCTGGTGTGCACACTTGTAACCACAGCAGCCCTGGTGGCAGAACCAGGAGAATCACAAACTTGAGACTGCCCCGCTTAGGCTACAGAGTAACTTCAAGGCTAACATGAGCACTTCAGGGAGACTCTAAAGAGCAGAGGGCGCAGTTCAGAATCAGAGTGCTTCTCCTGCATGCGTGAGCCCGAGGTTCGGTCCCCGGGACTGGAATACGAGCAGGCAAACAAAGAAAGCTAACCGACTTCGTTTTCATTTAGAGAGCTTTACCAGGCCTTGTCTGTACTTTCCCCGCATTGCAGTAAGGGTATAGACCAATACCAGCAGTGTTTCAAGGGCAGCCGTCATCCACACTGTGCCTCAGCTCATGCCACCATGGAGGAAGCAACCGCTATCCCAGGTCATAAAACACAGAAGGCTTTTGCCTCTGTGGTGGGCCCTGGTGCCCTCCAGCCTTCATGGGTCACCGTGCTGGACTCTGATCTCAGCTGTGGTGAGCCAGGTGGGCCTGCCCTCTCTCAGAGTGTGATGTGTCGTTTAGGATTTTATTATTATGGTGCAAAAGAAATAACATCATCTTTTAAATTTTCAGCCAAGCTGAAGAGTTTAATAATATTTTTTGTTTTTGTGGTACCCTTTGCTTTTCAAGATCTATTCTAGTTATTTAATCACCAGCACAGTGTCTTTAGGCTAGCAAAGACTGCTAAGCTGGGGTTTAAGATTTCCCTTGAGGTTTAGCATGGATTTCAGAAGCGCTTCCATCCTAAAGTTGTAAGATTTGTGAGTGGAAGAATTGTAATCGTCTGGTTTGTATTCAAGAATTTCTTTAAAAAAATTGCTTTCAAGTGAGTCTACAAAGTGGTGGGTTTCACTATGGTATTTTCATACCCTCTGTCATTATCCTTTGTTCTTGTTCATTCCCTTTTATCCTTTGTCCTCCCCCATCTACCATGTCCCCTTCTTATCCCCCCTTCCTCTCCCCATACAGCCCTTCTGTCTTGTCTTATTCTGTCCTGTCCTGTCCTCTCCTCTCCTCTCTCTCCTCTTCCATCGCTCTGCTTTTGAGACAGGGCCCCACGTAACTCAGGTTGACCTCAGACTCACTGTATAGTTGAACTTGGTCTTGAACTCCTGATCTTTGTGTCCCTACCTCTCAAGTGCTGGGATTACAAGTGTATGTGCTCCTGTGCCCAGCCATCCCTCTACTGCCAGGCCACAAATGCTCTCATCCTCCCTGTATTCTTGTTTTTCTCCTCCCAACTCTCCTCAGAAGGTCTTTTCCCTCTTGATATGTCTCATTTCTACTTCTCTTTTCTAGTTTCAAGATTTGCCCCTTTCTGAGTGGCACAATAAACACCTTTTATTACTTTTTACTTATAAATAAAAGTAAAAGGTACTTTTACATAAAGGTACAAGAAGATGAAAGAAGGCCCTGGGGGCTCTTTCTTATATCATAAAGGCTGAAACATTTCTTGGGGACGCAGACACAATACAGTGACAGTGTTTGTACCTCTCTTGTTGCTGTGATGCTGGATTCCTTGGGATTCTGGGAGTGGTAAACCTCCTGGCACCCGTGGACCAGCAGTTGATCTGTAGAAGATTGGTCTTCTTGGTGTATGAGAAAAAGGACCCCAAGGCACAATTGAACTTGCTGATGCCCAGGAACCAGTTCAGGGAGTACCACCCATTTGATCTGTCAGAACCTGGGTTCCTTTTGGTTCTGATCAGCCTACCCCAGAGGGCAGAAGGGAACCTATCATCTCCAGAGCCCCAGTGTTGTCTGAGTTGCCTAAGAAGGAGGTGAAACACACCCCATTAGTGGTTCAAGGGCATAGGGTAGGGGTTAAAGACATTGAATGTGTGCATAGTCAGGCTAGTCCTGAGGCGACATGTGGGTGACATTGAATGTGTGCATAGTCAGGTTAGTCCTGAGGTGACTTGTTGCTAGGGATGCTTCCTCTACCTTCATCTTTGCAAGGAAAACATCTTTGAATCCACCTATCAGCTCTTGTTTCTGTTTTCTTCCACCCTGTTATTGTTAGCGAGGCTTTTATACTTACCCACTGAAGCGGATTGTTGGTGCATGTCTGTATTTCCAGCACTTGGGAGGGAGAAGCAGGTGGATGGCTGTAAATTCAAGACCAGTTCTGCCTACACAGTGAGTTCTAGGCCAGCCAGAGCTTCGTAGTAGCCCTGGAGGACAAACCAAAACCAAAGCCAGTTAACTAACCCCTCATCCCCACCCTTGAAATCAACCAAGTTCTTTGGACTAAATTTGTTGTAACTTTGCTGTTTGGCACAGGCTTTGAAGAATGCTTTTGGTC